TTTTTTTAGTGTTCTGTCTGACGACAGGTCCATATGAACAGGATCCTTCCATCCTTTTCTCGGACTGGGACCTGTTCATATACGTTCTTGGCAGATGATCCAGAAGTGGTTTGCCATTGCCTTCTTCTGTGTGTGTGTGAGTGGAGTAATTGTTGGGATGCCACGGAGAAACCGGGGAAGAAGCCCCCGGAGGAAAACTCCGTGTTGCCTAGACCACGGTTTTGCCCAACACAAGTTATAAATTCGGGCACCGCCGGGAATCGAACCCGAGACCCCCAGCGTTCTATCCGCTGGTGTGAAGTTATGTTCTTTTTAAGTCAATATTTATTCTGTTATAAAGTCAGGGGCAAAATAATTGGTGCGTGTTCGACAGTTACTAGCGGTGGAAGTCTTGGCCTCGCCATTTTGAAAACATTTTTCTCAGGTTTCAGTTCCTGATCGCAGTTCGAGTCGTGCAGCTGACGATACGGTGAAATACATTTCCAGTTACTATTAAAATCGCTATTAATTTTCTGGAATTTTTGACGTCAATCACTCGCCAAGTTATTTGCCATTTATAATAATACGCTTAGCTACAAGTTTTGTCTGGGCACATCTACCGACCCTTCTGTCTTCTAGACTATTTCGCATTCTACAGACTGGGTGAGAAGTAAGTAGGCATTGAGAAATGGTTATAACCTCTATATTTACAACTACTTACTTCCCACAAATCCTGTACATACAGGAAGGCTATCATAGGGGCAACGCGGCTTAAGGAGCGCGTGGTCTTGGGGCCCTCAGAACTAGGATCGCGAGACCCATTCGAGGCTCAGGTGTGTGCCTGCGTTATTCTGTTCAGTGCTGCTCTCTGTCGTCGGTCCCATAAATTCGCTACGCTTACGTAACCTGAATGTTATCTTCATGTTCATCATAACTTCACTGGACTCGCCGAATGTATAGTTTAATCCAATACAAATCTTCACTCAGTGTTTTAATTAATATGTTCCTAAGACGATGGACCTACAGAGAAAGGCAGGTGTGGTTTTGTGTTTCTGGTGGTCTTGTGATGGTTGAAGGCCTTAAGGGCCTACTTCTATGAAACTAATATAAATGGACTCTATTAAAAAAATAGGCTCACCGGGAGTTTTTGGACAAGGAAAATTTTGTAAGACTTGAGGTTCTCACAGCGGTGAGTATGAAGATATCCGTATTCTGGGTTGTTGCGCTGTGTAGTCTGGTCGATGCTAACCAACGCTTCAGAGGTCATACCGCCTCCGTCATCAGGGCGATGACGGAGGCAGTATAACCTCTGAAACGTTGGTAAACATCGACCAGACTACACAGCGCAACAACCCAGAAGACAGAAATCTTCATACTCTGATGACGGAGGCAGTATGACCTCTGAAACGTTGGTAAACATCGACCAGACTACACAGCGCAACAACCCAGAAGACAGAAATCTTCA